GCAGAGACAGAGACAGAGACAGAGAATCCCAAGCAGGCTCTGTGTGGAGCCCGATGCGGGGCTCGAACCCACAAACCATGGGATTATGACCGGAGCGGAAACCAAGAGTCCGATATTTAGCCGACCGAGCCACCCAGGGGCCCCCAAAGCGCAAACTCTTAATGGAGCCTCTGCCCGTGTATCTAGTGCACAGCTGATTCCCCAGCTTCACCTCATTCGTTCATCCATCATGTTTCTGGAGCTCCTACAGTGTGCCGGGCACCATTGTAGGCTCTGGAGATAGATTAGTCAGCAAAGACCCCTCCCCCTGGGCACTGATGTTCTAGTGGGGGAGACACATCAGGTGCTTTGAGGGAAATGAAGCGGGGTCGAGGCAGTTTTTATTACCATTACGGTGCTCAGGGGGTCTTTGCCTAGCTGAGCAAAGACCTGAACGAAACGAGGGAGGGAGCCATGGGGACATGTGGGGAACGAGTGCAAAGGCCCTGAGGTCGTCTGGGGAACAGTGGGGAAGCCAGTGTGGTCAGAGCAGGGTGAGCCAAGGGGAGAGGGTGGGGGATGAGGCTAGAAAGAGGATGAGTGCAGATCGTGCGGGGCCTTGAGAGTTTCTTTTCTGAGTGAGGAGGGCCGCCGGAGGGCTCTGAGCCGGGAGGAGGGACCTATTTGCTGTGTTTGGGAACAGACCGTGAGGGCAACTGCAGTCCTCCGTGCGGGCAGGTACCGGTGAATTAGACAAGATGAGGCACTGCGGGGCTCAGACGTGGTCTGTTGGTGGGTATATTTTGTAGATGGAGCCGACAGGGTTTCCTGATGGACCGCGTGGGGGGGTAGAGGACGAGGGGCGACGTTTAGGTGGAAACACCCCTAACCCCACAGGGGCTGAACCATCCTGTTCATTCATTCAGAATTAGAAACAGATTGGGGGAACTTCCAGAGGCCCCTGGGTGGCTCCGTCGGTTAAACGTCCGACTGTTGGTCTCGGCTCAGGTCATGATCTCGAGGTTCGTGAGTTCGAGCCCCGTGCCGGGCTCTGTGCTGACAGCGCGGAGCCTGCTTGGGATTCTCCATCTCTCTCTCTCTCTCTCTCTCTCTCTCTCTCTCTCAAATAAGTAAACATTAAAAAAAAAAAAAACAGAATGGGGAACTTCAGGCCATGGGATTTTAGAACCTCATTCATTCAGAGAATATTGAGTGTCCACCAGGAGCCGATCGCTGTCGCAGATACTGAGGGCATAAGCTTGTGGGCCTAACCGGGCATAAAAGTCACGAAAGTCCAGGCTGGAAGAGGGGGAGCAGTGCTCTGCAGAGGAAATGGTGGGGCAGGGGGAGGCGCGTATGGCCCTCTGGGGCAGAGTGTTGGGAATGAAAACCCTGTCTGGGGAGCCTACCCCACAAGAAGCCAAGAGTGGGGTCTTTTTTAAACCTCCAAAGCGGACAATGCTGAGACACCCCCCTAGATACGGGAGGGCAGCCCTCCCTCAGAAGATCCAGTTGTCACGCGGCCACAAGGACCTCCCCAGCATGTGAAATCTGGCTCACCGAAGGGTCCCAGGGACCCAGAGGTAGGGGTGGGGCTCCGCGAGCCTGAGCTCTGCTTCCCTTGAAAAGGAATGCCTTCTCCTTCAGGAAGCCCTCCGGGCCTCCCTCAGGCGGGTCAGGCCTCTGGCTCTCGGTTCTTACGCACACACCTCACCCCCTTCAGTCTTCCCGGCCACCTTGACAATGACTCTTGGGGCAACGTGGGTCTCCACGCCCCATTGTCTACCCTCACCTGATACACATGTCCCTGTCTCTTCTGAGGCACCTGCACCCCACACAGAGCCAGATACTCATTTGGTTGTATTTATTGAGCACTTACTGCATGCCATGCCTTGGTGTCAGCTCCGGGGATACAGCAGGGAACGAGAGACAGACATCCCATCCCCAGGGGCCAACCCTCTAGCACCCAGGACCTGTTTGCTGAGTCACCGTCCCTCGAACTTGCCTGGGATGGGAGCAGATTCCAATCCCTCCCTCCCCCACCACGCAATCCCTTTAAGTTCTAAGTCCCCCTCCAGGAGCCAGCCTCCAGCCCTGCACCGTCTCCATCGTAACCTCTGGGTCTTCTAGTGACCCCTCTGCAGGACTTCTTGCTGTCTGGTGAGGCATTTCTGCCCGGCTCCACCTGCCCCTCGGGTTCCCTGGGTTCAAGCCTAGTCATTCTCTAGCTGCGGAACCACCCATAGCTCCCACTTGCCTCAAAGGGGAACACCTACGTTCCTGGCCCGACCCTACTTTGCTCTCTCCAGAGCCCACAAGGGCCGGGTGATTTTTCCTGACGGAGGGCCCGTCCCTCCCCACCCAGCTGGAAAGGGGCAGGCCCTTGGGGGACCCTTGTCCCACATTCCGTGCCTTTGGAGGCCGAGTGGGTGAAGGATCCTGGCACCGGAGGGAAGGGACAGCCTTTCCTCAGCTCCACCCAGTTGGTGACCCCTAGGAACCCCATATCCTGATTTTGGTCTGGATTTTGAGCTTTAATCTCCAGACCCTTCTGTGGGTCAGTAGATGGGTGAGTGCTGGTTCGTGTTGGAAACAATGCTGTGTGGGCCAAGAGTGAATACACGCGAAGCCGGATTTGGCCTGCGGCAGGCTGGCAGCTAACGGCCTCTGGCCTGTGTTTGACTCACCCGTGCGGGGCCCCTCAAAGGCCTCGTGGCAGGAAGTCGTCTCGTGGAATCGTCACGAGGGACCCTGCTTGAACATCCCCATTTAAAAAAAATTTTTTTTTTCAACGTTTATTTATTTTTGGGGGGACAGAGAGAGACAGAGCATGAACGGGGGAGGGGCAGAGAGAGAGGGAGACACAGAATCGGAAACAGGCTCCAGGCTCCGAGCCATCAGCCCAGAGCCCGACGCGGGGCTCGAACTCACAGACCGCGAGATCATGACCTGAGCCAAAGTCGGACACTTAACCAATGGTGCCACTCAGGTGCCCCGAGGCGATAGATCTGTTACACAGTGGTCTTGGCTGGGGACTTCTTTCCAAAAGTCTCTGGGACCGGCCCCGCTGATGCGACTGCCTTCTGCGGGGACCCTCTCATTAGGGTCTCCTATTAATGTGCCCTGGGTTTCTGTATGAGGCCGGTGCTCCCCACCCCCATCTCGGTCAAAGACAGCTGGACGGCCTTTGCCCCTTGAGCAAGGGCATGTGCCCTCGGCCTTGCCTCAAGGCTGAGTATCAAGGGCCACTTGTAATTATACTTACCTGGCTGTGTTTATTTAACAAGCACTGATCTCCTGTTTCCTGTGGCCCTGTGCTGAGTGCTCCACGAATATTCTTTAATCTTTGTAACAGCCCCTATAGGGGGCGGAGCCCTCCGATTACCCTCATTTTACAACCGAGGAAACCAAGGCCCAGAGAAGTTCAACGACTTGCCCAAAGTCACACAGCCAGCACGTGGCAGCACCAGGATGCGAACCCAGGCGGCCTGGGCCCGCGGTCGCCGTGCTGTATTGCCTCGCACCACAGAGCAACATCCTTCTTTATTCCGTGTTTTTATTAAACGCGAGAAAACAAACGAGGAGAAAAGAGACGTTCACGCAAAAACCCGTTTGCTCATATTCCGTTCTGTTCACAATCAACGCAAAGTGGAGACGACCCGAGTGTCGATCAACTGATGAGCCGATAAATGACACAGAATGCACCCACACAATGGCATATTATTCAGCCGCGAAAAGGAACCAAGCGCCCGACAGGCGCTGCGTGGACGAAACTTGAAAACAGGATGCCAGGTGAAGGAAGCCAGTCACAGCGCCACCTAGTGTATGATTCCATTTATACGAAATGTCTCAAAGGGCAGATGTGTGGAGGCCAAGGAAGTGAGTGAGGGGTTTCCAGGGGCTGGGGGCACGGGGAGCGACTGCCAGTGGGTACCGAGTTTCTTTGGGGAATTATAAAAATTCCCTAAAATTGATTGAGTGACAGACACTATATGTAACAAGTCTTGTGAATGAATATACAATATATACTCACCTGCTTTCAATGGGTGGGAATTAGATCTCAATAAAGCTGTTTCAAAAGAAAAAAAAAGTGGGGCACCCACGTGTTTCAGTCGGTTGGGCGTCCGACTTTGGCTCAGGTTCATGGGTTGGAGCCCCCCCCCCCCCCACCGCGTTGGGCTCTGTGCTGCCCATGCAGAGCCTGGTTGGGATTCTGGATCTCTCCTCTCTCTCTGCCCCTCCCCCACTTGTGCTTTCTCTCTCTCTCAAAACAAACAAAAAGGTGGCTAAGAGGGCTGTAGGTTTTCTAGAAAGGTGAAACTATAACTGAAAGAGAGACAGAGTGCAAGCAGGGGAGGGGCAGAGAGAGAGGGAGACTCCGAATCCGAAGCAGGCTCCAGGCTCCGAGCCGTCAGCACAGAGCCCGACGCGGGGCTCGAACTCACGGACCGCGAGATCATGCCCTGAGCCGAAGTCGGACGCTTAACCGAGTGAGCCACCCAAGTGCCCCCTGTCCTCACATTTTAAATATTTAAAATTTTATGTTGTGAGACAGGGCACCTGGGTGGCTCGGTCGGTTAAGCGTCCGACTTCGGCTCAGGGCATGATCTCGCGGTCCGTGAGTTCGAGCCCCGCGTCGGGCTCTGTGCTGACGGCTCGGAGCCTGGAGCCTGCTTCGGATTCGGAGTCTCCCTCTCTCTCTGACCCTCCCTCATTCATGCTGTCTCTCCCTGTCTCAAAAATAAATAAATATTAAAACAAACAAAAGGTTTTTAAAAGGATATTAACAGTAATTCCACACTAGCACGTAAGCTAGTCGAGATTCCTGTGTCCCCAGTGTTTCTGTGAAACGTGCTCTCTGGAAGAATCGGGAATCGGGACCTCACAAAGGCCCCTGCGTCGCATCCGGGGCTTGCATTTCTCAGTGGGGCCCCTCAGCGATGGCCCTGCCTGGCCTGGAGGTATCTGGCTCCTTCCCCCACCCACCTCTCTCTCTCTCTCCCTCTCTCTTTTCTCCCCAGGAGCCCAGGATGTGCAAGTTCGAGTGCCGCCCGAGGTGCGGGGCAACCTGGGGGGCACCGTGCAGCTACCGTGTCACCTGCTGCCGTCGGGACCGGACGTCAGAGTCTCGCAGGTGACGTGGCTGCACGTGGACGCAACCGGCACCAGCAGGAGCGTGGCCGCCTTCCACCCTTCGTACGGGCCCAGCTTCCGCAGCCCAAAGCCCGGTGAAGAGCGGCTGTCCTTCGTCACCGCCGGGCAGAGCAGCGGGACCAGGCAGGGCACGGAGACGGAACTGCGGGATGCCACGCTGGCCCTCCGGGGACTGACGGTGGAGGATGAAGGCAACTATACCTGCGAATTTGCCACGTTCCCCAGTGGCACCAGCCGGGGGACGACCTGGCTCCGGGCCATAGGTGAGCAGGGTCGGGCGGGAGAGCCCTCTCGCAGATCTGTCTCTCCCTCTGCTCCGGCAGTAATACCGGCTTTCTCCGTGGTCTTCGGTCAGTTGGCAAATGTCCATTAAGCGCCTGCCGTCGCCAGACTCTGTTCTGCGGGTTGAGGTTCGAGCAGGCACAAGGCATTCGCCAAACACGTACTGAGCACCTACTATGTGCTGGGCCCTGTTTGGGGCTCTAGCAACAAAGCAGTAAGACAGCTCCCTGCCCTCCTGGGGCTTCTACTTCAATAAGGGAGGGTCAGACAGTAACTAACGTTAGTAAGAAAAACAGGAGTGAGTCGGGTGGTTCTAGGTGCCATGGAAGCTGGTGGGGGGCAGATTATAATTTTGGCTGTAGAGTCCGGGTGAAATCTGAAGAAAAACTCGAAGGAGGCAAGGGAGCCCCGTAGGTTCTCTAAGGGAAGAGCATTTCAGACAAAGAGAATGGCAGGTGCAAAGGTCCTGAGGCAGGGCCCACCTGGAACGTTTGCCGTAGAGCAAGGAAGTGCGTGTAACCGGAGGCTTGCGGCTGAAGGGAAAGGAGGAGGGGACAAGCTCAAGAAAATAGTGGAAGCGTAAGGAGTCACGCAGGGACGTGTGCCCTCGGGCAGGGGAATAGATGCACCCGTAAGAGGGAACCGTGTACCAAAAAGCTGGGAACCGCGTACCAAAAAGCTGGGACGCAGGAGTGCACTCGGCATGTACCAGGAACAGAAAGGAGGCTGGTGGCCAGGGCTTGCGTGACCTCACCGAAGCAGGAAAACCAGCAGAGCCAGATCGCATGGGCCTCCTGGGCGAAGGATTCCATGGGGACAGATGCAGCGGGGGGGTGGGGAGGAGTGGGTGGGATAAAGCCTCCAGCTCCAGCCAGGGAGGGCAGGGGAGGGGCGTGACCAGCACAGCCGCTTAAGAAAATGGGGGAGACTTTGGGAAGGGCTTTTTTTTTGAAGGATGCTCTTTCTTGTTCCATCTTGGGCACCCGCCTGGGATCCCACCTTCCCCCGGCAATGTCCCGCAAGCCACCTCGCTCGGGACTCTCATTTTCGCTCTCTCAGCCCCAGAGGGTTTGAGGAGTCCACCCTGTACCGTCCCTGGGCAAAGGCTTTCATTTCAGAGGCGCCCGAAACCCCGGTTGTTTTGCAGAATCCAAAACACAAGACTTTCACCACCCCGCCCCTGGCAAAGGTCTCTTGTTCTCTTGGCAAAGGTCACTTGTTCTGTTCGAGAGATATACGCGGAGAGCACCTGTCTCACCCCAGGTGCCTCCCGGGGCAGCTGCACAGAACAGACCAGCCAGACCTCTGCTTTTCGTGGAGGAGCAGGTGCCGTGAGTCCCCCCCCGCAAAGGAGAGTCAGATGTCAGGGAAGTTCCCTTGAGGAAGTGAGGCTGGGATCTGCAGGAGAAGACCCCGCAGCGGGTGGGAGCAGGGTCTGAGGGCGGCGTGGGGCAGGTGCCCAGGACGGTCAGAGGACAGATAGCAGGGTGACCAGGGAGGATGTGAGGAGGCCCCTCGGAGGCTGTGGCAGTCCGGGGGAAGGAGAGGAGAGCCCTACCGCATGGATGAGCTCAGGAGAATCCCAGATAGAGATTTCCACAAGCCAGCTGGAGAGCTGAGGCACCACCCGGGACAGTCTGGTGACAGCCGCGGGTTGCTTATTCCTCATGGAGGTTTTATTGTTTTCCGTCCCCATATCTTTCCATGTTTTCCAGGAAGGCAGGTGAAAAGGGCAAAAAATCTCCCGCTTTGGGAATCTCCGTAACCTTTATCCCACTTCTGGCCCCGCAATTTGCTGGTGATTTCAGGAAAGAAGTAGAAATCCTTTTGAGCTGGACCTTTGAACTACATTATTCTGCTTTGGCTTAAAAAACAAAAAACAAAAAAAGAAAAAACACTTAGCCTCTTCCAGACAGAATTCTATCATGGCACACGGTGCAGCGAGTGCTATACGTAGAAATTTATTTAATCTGCACAACATTCCTACGGGGTGGGCATTTTTTAAATTAATTTTTGTTTGACGTTTATTTTGTTGTTTTCGTTGTTGTTTATATTTATTTTTTTAATTTTTTTTAATGTTTATTTAATTTTGAGACAGAGAGAGACAGAGCATGAACAGGGGAGGGGCAGAGGGAGAGAGGGAGACACAGAATCTGAAACAGGCTCCAGGCTCCGAGCTGTCAGCACAGAGCCTGACGCGGGGCTCGAACTCACGGACCGCGAGATCATGACCTGAGCCGAAGTCGGACGCTTAACCAACTGAGCCACCCAGGCACCCCCCAGTTTATTTATTTTGAGAGAGAGAGTGAACAGGGGAGGGGCAGAGTGAGAGGGAGAGAGTCCCAAGCAGGCTCTGTGCTGACAGCATGGAGCCTGATGTGGGACTCGAACTCACGAACCGTGAGATCATGACCTGAGCTGAAATCCAGAGTTGGACGCTTAACTGACCGAGCCACCCAGGCGCCCTGGGCATTTATTTTATGTATTTATTTTTGAGAGAAAGAGAGAGCGGGAGAGGGGCGGGGGGTGGGGGGAGAGAGAGAGAGAGAGAGAGAGAGAGAGAGAGAGAATCCCAAGCAGGCTCTGTGCTGACAGCATGGAGCCTGATGTGGGACTCGAACTCACGAACCGTGAGATCATGACCTGAGCTGAAATCCAGAGTTGGACGCTTAACTGACCGAGCCACCCAGGCGCCCTGGGCATTTATTTTATGTATTTATTTTTGAGAGAAAGAGAGAGCGGGAGAGGGGCGGGGGGTGGGGGGAGAGAGAGAGAGAGAGAGAGAGAGAGAGAGAGAGAATCCCAAGCAGGCTCTGCACTGTCAGCCCAGAGCCCAGTGTGGGGCTTGATCCCACAAACTGTGAGATCATGATCTGAACCCAAGTCCAGAATTGGACAGTCAACCAACTGAGCCACCCAGGCCCCCTGGGGTGGGACTTTTTATTATCCCGACTTTACAGAAGAGGAAACTGAGATCCGGAGCTGGGAAATGACTGGCCCAAAGCCGTGCAGCTGCTGAAGAGAACTGGGATTGGAGCCCAGGCAGTTGGGGCTTAACGGCTGAGGTGTTTGTTGAGTGACTGCGGGTGAGAAGTAACGTCACCCCTCTGTTGCTCTCCCCAGCACAGCCCCAGAACCACGCCGAAACACAGGAGGTCACCCTGAGCCTGGAACCTGTGCCCGTCGCCCGCTGTGTCTCCGAGGGGGGCCGGCCACCCGCCCGAATCTCCTGGTTCTCGCCCCTGGACGGAGAGGCCATAGAGAGCCAGGTGTCCGGACCTGTGCCCGGCACAGTCACCGTCACCAGCCGCTTCACCTTGGTGCCCCTGAGTCGAGCGGATGGTGTCAAGGTCACCTGCAAAGTGGAGCATGAGAGCTTTGAGGAGCCCATCTTGCTGCCCGTTACCCTCTCCGTGCGCTGTGAGTGTTTCAGGATGTGACCGCGTCCCCCGTGTTGTCTACGCTGGCTTCTCTAGGGCACTGTCTACACTACCGCCGAGTGCTGGCTGCATTAGCCCCCCGGGGCCACATTCTGCACTGCCTTCCCGCCGGTTGTCTATACTGGCTCTCATGGGCAACGTCTACACCCTGCCTCCTCGTTGTCTCTACTGCCTTCTCCAGGCTCTCTCCCTGCCGCCCCCATCGGTGGTAAAGCAAGGTTTGCGGGGGCCGGTTTTATACATTTCTTCCCAGTCCCACATCCAGCGAGGTCACACTGACAGCTTGGTGTCGATCGCTGAGGGCTACTTACACCAAGGAAATCGCAAACACTGCAAATCAGGCCTGTTCTTTTTTTTTTTTTTTAATTTTTTTTTTAACGTTTATTTATTTTTGAGACAGCGAGAGACAGAGCATGAACGGGGGAGGGGCAGAGAGAGGGAGACACAGAATCGGAAGCAGGCTCCAGGCTCCGAGCCGTCAGCCCAGAGCCCGACGCGGGGCTCGAACTCACGGACCGTGAGATCGTGACCCGAGCCGAAGGCGGACGCTTAACCGACTGAGCCACCCAGGCGCCCCCATCCCCCTCTTCAAAAAGCCGTTTTGCCAGCCCCCACCGGCCCCCAACGACATCTTTTGTGGCTCCCGCGGGGGCCCCGGTTGACATTTGCTTTACCGTGTGCATCGACTACTGTGGGTTTGTAGCAACCAACCCAACGTTGTCTACACCCCCCACCCCCATTCACACCATCTAAACTGACCCTGCTGGGGTCGCCATACCAGCTCCTGCCCCCCCGTATGATTCACGTTGGCCCCTGTGGGCCCCGTCGTGGTAGCAATAACACGATCTCTGTGGCACCCTCAGACGCTGCTGCCATTGAACCATACCTTCCTCGAAATGGTCCAGGTGGCATCCCGGGACAGCAGGTGCGCTGGCCTCAGCAGACGTAGCCCAAACTGACCTGCCCCAGTTTCCACAGGTCCACGTCCTGCCAGCCCACCTCATTTCTTTAGGATTCCCGTCTATCTGCTCACCTATCCGCTCTCTGGGGACTCTGCCCGTCTCTGAGCCAGCCCCCCCCCCCATTTCCTCCAGACCCCCCTGAGGTCTCCATTTCCGGCTATGATGACAACTGGTACCTCGGCCGCAGCGAGGCCACCCTGAACTGTGATGTCCGCAGCAAACCAGAGCCCACAGGCTACGACTGGAGCACGTGAGTCCTGGGTGGGGCTGGACCCGTGGGTCTGAGGGAGGAGGGGGCTGGGGGCTGGATTCCTGGGTCTGAGGGAGGAGGGGGCTGGGGGCTGGACTCCAGTGTCTGAGGGGGGGTGGGCTGTGGGGACTGGGTCCCTGGGTCTGAAAGGGGAGGGGCTGGGGACCTGAACCCCTGGGTCTGAGGGAGGAGGGGCTGGAGGCCTAGACTCCTGGGTGTGAGGGAGGAGGGGCTGGGGG